GGCATAGAAACTGAGCTCTTTTCTTTGTTTTTAAAAGCGATACTCGATTAAATATTCAAGAATCCCTAACACTGAATATTAATTAATGTGTATTTAAATATTTGTATTGATAGAATATCAATCATGAAACTATTTTCCAGATTCAGAATTATCTCGAAATAGTATCTGATCGTGTTTTTTGGTCAATATTTTCCTTGCAACGTTTTGTGATGAGGAACACAATTAAAAACCAAGTATTATACCTTATCGTTATCTATTATGATTTGGTTCATATAAAAATATATAATTAATATTTTGAGCAAATCTTTCTCTGTAAAATTTATTTATTTCAATTAAATTAAAATATATATAATAGATTTTCCGATATTTTAAAAATTTTAAATAGAAATAGATTAATTAGAAATATGCTGAGAATTCCATGTCTTAATTATTTACTGTTCTAAATGAAGAGTTTTACTTTAAAAAATAGCTAATTATTTGATTGAAAACCATTTTGGAATATTATCTTATAATGATTAAATGTATTAAATGAATATTTTATAAGAAATACTCTGCTTATCTATTTACAAAAAAATTATATAATCCTTGAAAATATCTCAATATCTTATTCTTGTTTGACTTTATTCAATTAAAATGATGAAACAATAGCTCTGATCAAATATCCAAAAATCATACAATTATGTTCTATTTTACTAATGACTTCTATAATAAACTGCTATTAGTGCTGCTCATAAATGTTATTACCACCGAGTCGAAATAACAAAATGATTTATTCGAGAAAAACTACAAATGTTTTCATTTCGAATAAAAACTTATCTATTGGCTTCGCTGTAAGAAGGGCTTTATAATTATTACTTGTGAAATGGATCGAACACCAGATTATCAAGTAAAGCGATGGTTTGAAGGAATTTCTCTATCGAAAATACAATGATCAGCTAGATCAACAAAATAAAAGACGTCTTTGATATTGATTTCTTCAGTTTACAATCTTCACACGAAGAAGTCATAGAATAAATCACATCTGATTTGTTTAAAGTTACGTTGGTGATGCTCAGGTAACAAAATCGAAGCGACCAAGTAAAATTAACTGAGATCACTTAGTTCGTGAGCGATTGACTCTATGAATGAAGAAGTACGATTAGATACCAAGTGAATTTCTCATTGGTCATTCTAATGTTTGAATGTAGTCCTAAAAATCATTGGAAAAAGTTCCATGTTTACATCGCTTTACACGCATAAATGTCGCTTTTGCTCTTATAATCGATGTAGTTGACCTTCGCGAATGACATATAGCTTACACAAAAACAAATGTTGATCACGTCGCACACGAGTCAGCAATTATAGAATTTCACACGACTCCGTAATTTATCTTGTCACCAGAGGAAAAACTATTCAATGCTTTAATATTAATAAAAAAAGAATAAGCCACGATTTCTATAATGGACCTATCTTTATTTTAAGATGTTTACAAGTTTTGTTAGTTAAACATCTTATCGTTTGATATTTACATTTTATCAACGAGAACCAACAAATTTAGCCATTTCAGATGGATTCCTGGCTGAAAAAAACAAAATTTCTTTTCGTCCTTCTTCTTCTCGGCCACGATAATTTTGCATCCAGTTTCGATCAATATAATATCTATATTGATTATTGAATTCACTTTCAGTATATTTTTCTACTTGAATGGGTACAAATGGTTCAAGTGCTTCAATACCCTAGTAACAAAAAAGAACATCACTAAACATTTCTATTATATTGTAAAAATCGAAATAAACTTACATCAGTTCCTAACAAAGATTTAACAGTCATTGGCCCATCATACATAAGTACACCGGGTAGACGATGTTCCGTACGATAATGTCCATGTCTAACAACCCAATTATGCTTTTCTCGTACTTTAGGTGTTATAACACCTTTTGGTCCAATAGTAGTAACAATAAAAGCATTATTCCAATCGGGTAATAATAGTTCCTGTAGAGCTTTTACAACTGTTACTTCATTTGGCTTTACCTAGAAAAAAATAGAAAACTAAGCATCTAGAGAAGAAAAACTAATTATCATACTGTTGATTTATCAGGTTTCACAATCCATGTTGGTCCATAATAACTATTGATAGTATCAAATGTTACTAATGTTTTAATACTAATTGTAAATAAGAAACATGAGCAGTGTTTATTTCTTTCTGAAATTTGAATTTACTCTTTTTCTCTGACTTGAGCTTTAATTTCTTTAACAATAGCAGCTACACATCCTGATGCATATTTAATTCGGTCAGTTGCCTAAATAGCTAATTTTTGTTGTCCTATAAAGTATTTTAATATTTAACTTACATAAGCAATAAGGTCAAGAAGATGTGTTCCAGCTGGTGTCGATTCTCGAGCACTCCATGTGTAAGAAAATTTCGTGCGAAACTAAAAGAAAAACGAATCCAAAGCATGAATATGGATAAGTAAACATGTTTACATCTGTTTCTTTAAGTATTTCTTCATTGTTAATAGCAAATGTTTTCAACCAGGTACTAGCTGCTGCAGGTGTATCCCACATTAGTTCATTGCTTGGCGACGGTGTTGCGTCTAATACTAATTTAAGCACTTCCGATGCTAGAAATGCAAAGAAAAAATGTTGGTTTGTTTGTTTTGTGTCTATCGTTACTCAAGACAAAATGTTCATACCTGTTGGTGTATTAACAAGTAACATTTTCTTACGAAAACCATAGTGTAAAACATGAAAAAGACATAAACTCATGCCAACACCAGCTTCAGCAGGAACTTTAATGAGAAAAACACGCATAGAAAATCGTATTCAACAAGAACAAAATCCTTACAAAGTACTATTTTTAATGGAGGTAAATTCCAATTAATTTGTTTGATTAATTTAATGATGTCGAGTGATGGTTGTCGGATCATAACAGATGTTTCATTGAATGCTTCGCACTATGAAAGGAAATTCTTTTACGCTGAAATTCAACAATAAACAAAAATTCATTTTACCTCTTCACGAAATTGCAACGGAAGTGCTTTACCAAATGGACTCAATTTTTTTAACTCCTCGGGATTGACTTTATAAAATAAACCTAGATCTTTTTCTGAATGTAAAACCTTTAAAAAACAAGAAAACTTCAAAAGTAAGGACAATCATTTTCATTTTATTTATTCATACAGGGTCATCAATCGATGTTCGAAATGGTTGTTCAACTTTGGATTTAATCGGTTCTTGTGGTGTTGAATGTACATCGATAGTACGTGCAGCTGAATTCGTATAAAATCGATAGCACGGCCGATATACCAAATGAGCTCGTATCAAACAAGATGTTAGCAATGTCATTTAATCTATAATCAATAGTAAAATTCGTTCAAGCAAACTCTTCAGTTTAAGATTGTCTCCATCAAACAAATCAATGGAATAAGTTTCGACCAATCCGTAACGTCAATCACGTGATTGGCTAGTGTTACCTGCAGTAGAATTAATGCTTATTGTTTTCTCTTCTATGTGTCTTTGATTCATTCCTCTTGTACCTTTTTTTTTGTAAAAATATTCCGTTTTTTTATTGTTCTCAATTCAGATATTATATAGATTATGGAGTCGGAATCGAAAGATGCAATAAAAGGTGGTGGTTCATTTTTTGAAAAAGTCATTGCTTTAATTCAACGTCTTCTGTATGATATCTGGTCAAGTCCCGTAAATCTGTTACTTTCTATTTTGATAATATGTTTACTTGTTAAATTATTTTTATTAAAACGTAACTCATTAAAAAATGCTAGTCGTAATCAAGCACAAGTACCATTACCAAAGATGCCTAAATGTGACTTAACAGTATCAGAATTACGTGGTTATAATGGTATTGAATCAAATGGAAGAATCCTTACAGCTGTTTATGGAGATATTTTTGATGTTAGCCGACGCAGTGATCTATATGGAATAGGTAAGATGATTTTTTTTTCACAGAAAATATTTAATTTATGGTTGTATTCTATTCGAATAGAAAGCCTTGATGACAAGGACATTGACGTGATCTATTCATATCAAAAAGAAAGAGAATAAAACAGTAGTAGTACATCTAGTTAATCAGTCTACACTGGCAGAAATAAAAATTAAGAAATAATGGAACGATAGATATCATAGAATGAATAATACATTATGACTATGTTTAGGTTGGCAATTAAGCTTTATTTCTTTTCTATTCTGAATACAGGAGGATCATATTCATTATTTGCTGGACGTGATGCTACACGAGCTTTATCAAAAATGCAATTGGACCCATCATTATTTTCTAATGAATATGACGAACTTACTGATATAACTGATAAGGAACGAGCTACTGCTAGAAGTTGGCATGAAGATTTTCGAGGTAATATTTCGTTGATGAGTTCAGAAACGAAAGATAAATTTTTTTTCTTCGCAGAAAAATATGATATTATTGGACATCTTCTAAGACCGGGTGAAAAACCATCTGTTTATCTACCTGAAGATACAACTATTGATGGTGGTTATAATTTGAACGACAAGAAACGAGAATAAACATATATTTTTCTTCTGTGTTTTCGTTGTTCTCGATGTGCTCATATAATCGACGGAAGCTCTTTCATTTCGAAAAAAGAATAACAAAAAAAATAACATACTACTATGTTTGACTTTTCTTAAATGATCGTTTAACTTTGTTTTTATTTTATGCTAGTTATGTAGCCAATATCATTTAATATGTTCAAAACATTCACACGATCATATTATGTATGTTATCAAGCTCTTAACACGTTTTTTTTGAGTTTTCGAACAAGTATTGTGTGCATGGCTTATTAATCTAGTTTTTGCAAAGAGTGTTCATTTACAGTTTTATTTAATTTAAGATTAATCATACGTTTTTTAACAATTATTAATATAAATGCATAAGCCCAAGGTATCAAACTTCAAGTATTTCTATAGAATAGTTTTGAAACATTAAAGTTTTCTTTAGCTAGACATTACCAGCGTCAATAGTGGATACAACGAGTAAATTATTCGATGAAATCGATGAAAACGAACGTTGTGATATCATCGTATCCAATTTTCTCTTCGATGACCTGTTTACATCAGATGATGCACTATCTGTTACTCATGTAAATAGTTAGAAAAATAAAAAATAAAATGAATTCTATGAATTATTCTAGCTTGATTCAGTTTCGGTACAATCATCGAAGGGCACTCAACAGCGAACAACATCAAATCGTAGACGACAACAAGGTCGCGGATTAGCATCAGCAAACGGCTTACGATCTTCGAAAAGGTAAAATTAATTACTGCGATTTAATTATTTACCTTAAATTCTTTTGTCTAGATATCATAATAATAATCTCGAAGAATATCCCTTACATTTAGCATGTCAAAATGGTCAAATTGGAGTTGTTGGAAAGTTGTTACATGAATTTTCTCCGGTTACGCTCGAGCATGATATGAATCGATGGTCCCCACTTCATCATGCTGCTTGGTAGAGAATGTTTGACTTTCGAAAATCGATTTCAACTGTATTTATTCTAGGCATGGACATCATCGAATTGTCGAATTATTGCTGCGTTCAAAACGGTTTTCAGTCAATGCCGTTGATAATTCACGTACAAGTCCATTGCATTTAGCAGCTTTAGGAGGTCGAGTCGAAGTAATTCGAATACTACTCGATTGTCCTGATATCAATGTGGTAGGAATTCAAAATAAAATGATAGAAAATGCGAGCGTTTTGTTCTAACGATTTTTTTAGCATGCAAAAAATAAAGATGGAAAAGCAGCACTTGATTTTTGTCGACAAAATCCAAGTCATGATTGGCAGTTATGCACAGAATTAATTGAAAAATTTCTTCAAAAGCCTGTAAGAAAAAAAATAAACGATACCGTTGTCTTACATTTATTCTGCTTTTCTGTATTCGTTTTTAGCTTGAAAAAATCAAAATTTGTCTTGCAGACGGTAGTACAATTGAACTTGAACTTGTTTCCGGTCCAGCTGAAACCACGGTTCGTCAATTGCATGCACAAATGATGACACGTTTACGTTTACCAGATGAAGTTTCACATGTCTTTGGTATATGGATTTGTTCGAAAAGTGTTCGAATTCAATTAAATCCCGATCATAAACCAGTTCAATTTTTATTAAATTGGAAACGTTATGCAAGTGAATTAACAACCATACCAAATGAATCATCACTTCGAAATCCTTCATCGTCACCGTCATCATCATCATCATCACCTTCATCATTAAATACAAATTCTGAAGATGCACAATTGTGGTGGTCACGTGATACATTACTTAAAATTGAATTCGAACAACGTCTTCGTATACCACATGTCATACATTTATTATTTCTTGAAGCCTATCAAAATTATCTACTTGCCTATTATCCATGTACAGATGAAGATGCCGTTGAATTTGCTGTTCTAATGATGGGAATCAACGAGAAACAATTAGATGATAAATTATGGGAAAATTTCTTTCATAATGATCAAAACAATTTATCACTTTTAATTCCAGCTGAAAAATTAAAACGTGCAGGCGCAATGTATTGGCGTCGGACGATTCTCAAACGTTATAAAGAAGTTTTTATCGATGATCATGCTATGCAAACTCGTTCACAATTATCACTCTATTTAAAAATGCAGTTTCTTAATTTAGCTCAAAATTTAACGAGTTATGGTTCGTCGTTTTTCACAGGTAATACAAGCTAAAATAAATGTTTTCCTTTTTAATCTTGAAATTTTCCTTCTCTAGGTGATCACGAATATCGTGGCCGACGTACAAGTGTATTCATATGTGTTAATGATGTTGGTGTACATTTGATAAATCGGGTTACAAAATTACAAGAATATTCATTTTCCTATCAACAAATGACATTTACTATTGAAACAGAAGCACAATCGACACTTGAAATAAATGTCAAAGACAATAAAAATGTTGATCATACACGTTTGTTGAATTCAACAAGCGTGGCAAATAGTAAAAATTTTAAAAATTCAATTTTTTCTTTTTCATCATCATCATCAAATAAACAATCGAACAAAACCGATCGGCCATTAACGTCATCATCATCACTATCATCGATATTAACAAATTCATTAAGTAATAGTGAATTACAACAAAGAAATCATAATAGACATGTATTATATACGAAACAAAATTTTTTAATTTATCACTTAATGAGTAATTTCGCTCAAGAACAGGGATCTTCTATATAAACATTGTTTATAAATAAATATTTTTCGTTTACTTATTTTTTTGTTGATTTAAGTAGAGCGATGACGTCACTACAGGTGATATGATAAGCTCATGTTGTATGTTTTTCTTTCAATAGACAAATATTAATATGATGAATGGTCAGACAAGTTTGAATTCGGAATCATCCGTGTATGTTATTAAGAAATTCGATCGCTGCTGCTGCTATTAAGAAGAAAATCATTTTTTTGATTTCACAATAAAGAAATTATCTTTATCATTTTTTCAAATTGTAGATCTGAAACTTTACATCAAGTTAATGGGCACCTAGTTAATCTTTATCAAGCGTACAATAAAATTTATTATTTTGTTTTATTTAAGTTGATTTTTAACTTTTATTTTATAGTCAAACATCAAATGGCTCTACTGTTAATTCATTGAATGTCTCAACGAGTCAAAGTCCAGCAATTACAAAAAAAAAAATGTTTCAAGTACGCCGTACATTTTTATTAATCGTCACATTTGATGTGATCTTTATGGTACTTCTATGGATTATTTACAATCAAGTTTGTTAAACTGTAGTGCGAATATCTATAGTACTTTGCTTTTCAATATTTAGATTAAAAATATAACAATTGATCAAGCTTTTATTAATGACGTTATTAAATATTCAATAAAAACTTCTCTATTTGACGTTGTTGTAAGTTAAGAAACAAATGTTTTTTACTCATAAATAAATTATGTTCTATAGGGTTTATCAGCTCTGCGTTTTATTTTACTAATAATATCATATGCAATATTAAAATGGTCCCACTGGATTTTCGTAGCTGTAAGTAAGTAAGCTTATGCAAGAAAATATTCAAAGGAAAGGATCTATTTTCTTTGTCTCGAAAATAGAACTAAATTCATTATAAAACTTTTGACTCTATAATGAATGTAGATCAAAACAAAAATGCGTAATTTATGTAACTGATATTTTGTTTATTGTTAAAAGATAGCAATAGTTCGTTTACATACGCTATCATTCATATATGAATGTTTGATTGTTAACAAAGTTTCAGCTTACAACAATGACTTGCTCTTGAAATATTGAAAATGAACTTTTACAGCCTATCGGATTGATTTGAATCTAACATAGACACTCTTCTCGTGTCATCGAATCATAAGAAAGAATAAAAAATTGAGAAATGCGTTGCCTTTTATTCGTCTTTTTTGTTATCTAGTTTACAACACTTGGTTCAACTGGTTTTATCATTACTAAAACATGTGTATTTACTGTAAGTCACTAATTAAACACAAATACGTAATTAACTTCCGTCTAAATAGATTTCGAAATCGGATAAAGGTTTTACGGATTATGGTATCTTGATAGTTTCATTTATTTTGGCATGGATTGAAATCTGGTTTTTTGAGTATGTTTTATCTATTTTGATAGTCAATTCATGATTTTCAATTCTCTTAGTTATCGTGTTATTCCTCATGAACGTCGTTTACGAGAAGCATGTATGAAAAAAGAAACCATAGACTAACTGTCTTAATCACCTTAAATGATAATCTACTGTTATTCTTTTCTTTCTTGTAGTACACCATAGTGATCGACGTCCACTATTGGCATCGAATTCCAGTAGATCAGGCTCTCCAATTCCTCCATCATCGAATTATCATTCCATTTCAGTTTCAACCGAACATCTTCAATCGTTCTATTCGCCAGTTCCGTCCGTTGAGGGTAGGTTAAAGATAGACCAATACTCACTCTTCTACTTCCATTAGTTTTATTTGAAAAGAAAAGAACAAAAAAGAAAGAAACGAGACTATGATAGCTAACAATGATTACCATTAAAACATGTGTGACTTTTCATACAATATTTCTTTTTTTTCTCCAACCGACATTGAGAATAAAAGTCGCATATACGCGATCAACAGCAAATATGACTTGTTCCCTTCGAAATTTTCTGAAAGGCAAGAATTCTATAAGAATGATTTTAAATTGAAAATGTCTAATTTACTCACGCGAATGATCATTCATCTATTTTAGGTAGTGATACAGAAGATACAAATACCGGTGCTATGCGTGATGTTCGTGCAGATTCTAATGTTTCACAGTCGCTATTATATACGCCAGCATCCGTTATTGACGATTATGATAATGCTGAAGATTATGAACAACAAGCAGATGAAATTGTTCAAAAAATCTGGCGTATATTTAAAGATAACGAATCTTGGGTACAAGAAGCTGTTAGTACCAATGGACGTGATGTTGTTTTTGCTAAAACTTTTCCTATATGGGGAAAAGTTTTTCGATTAACTGTAAGAATAAAATAATCAATAAATCAATAAATATTTTCTTTGTAGACTATTGTTCCAGGAAGTCGTGATGATATTGCAGAAATACTATTCGAACGGCAAGAAGATATGTCGAAATGGAGCCCAACTGTCAATGAGTGTAGAGTATGTAAATGAAACCTGTTTTTCCTAATATAATTTTTTTCTCTTATAGATACTCCAAGTTCTAAATCATAATTTATATATATCGTTAGTAATACATTGATTTAATAGATGGGAATTATCAACTATTGAATTTTTAGTTATCAATTGACGAATGAACAAGCACAGGGTATTATTGCAAAACGAGATTTTGTTAATTTAAGTACCCGCCGATTCATTGACGATGTTGCGATATTAGCAGCACAGGCATGCGTTTATCCGCAAATGCCTCCTAAAGACAAGTAAGAAGAAAATATTTTTTTAATTAAATTTTCTACGTTGTTTTTGTCTTGTTTAGTTGTGTTCGGTAAGTGACATAAAACTATTTTTGAGATCTTATTTACATGCTGTACATAATAAATAGAGGTGTAAATGGACCAACTGCATATATTATTGAGAACAATGACAATACAACGTGTAGATTTACATGGTTGCTTAATGTAGATTTAAAAGTGAATTCGTTTTTCTTTTGAACAACTCCCTAGAATAATATTTCGAAAATTTTCTTTAGGGTTGGCTGCCTCAATATTTAATCAATAGTTCTCTTGCGACTGTTCAACTGACACTTGCAGAAGCATTAAGAAATTATTTAATAAAATTAATCGATTTATCATCATCAGGCTCATCGACAGGTGATATAGCAATATGAATTCGCCATTCTTTTCTATATATATATAATATAATTTTCTTCTATATATTATCTTTTATTTTATTTTTGTTAAAATCTAATAACTTCTGTATCGGCTAGAAATAAAGAAAAAGAGATTTATACTATTGATTTATGACGTAACAATTTTTCTTGTTTATTCCAAAATAAAATCCATCAAATTAATAATAAATTCATGTTTATTTCAATACACAACAGATCGACCATTTGGTCGCTTTCGAGATTAGTTTTCTAGGTTTCAGCAATTATTCAAAATATGCGTTGATTGACGCGTAAGTATAAGAGAGAACTTAATAGCATTGTAGATTCAAATAAGAACCATGTTATACGGCTGAATTTCTAAGTGAAGTTTTCGCCGGAAGTAAAAAAAACCAACAGTTCGGCATATATCTGAAGACTTTATGATCAGATTTACAGGACCTTCTAGATATGGTAGTGTATATTATTAATCTTTGATATCATACTATTGCCAGATAATAAAACAGCGTTTAAATTCAACTTTTTGAACAGGGTTATTGCGATACAAAAAACAATCCTATTAAATATGCTCCAAAGTCAATGAACTAAAGAAAACATTGGGTATCTTCACTGTATCTGATCCAATGAATTAATTTTTTCAGTACGCAGAGTTCATGTGCAAAAAACCTATCGTTTTCAGCTATCTTCATTCATAAACTCCTTCGATCAAAATGAATCACGAGCTCTTTTCTTAAAACCCACAAAAATACGAAAGAACATTGCTGATAAATCTTGTGAAAAAATTATGTAGGTACTCGATAAACTAACTATCTTCGATAATCAGTAGTTCTTGTCTAGAGGGATTTCTCGGTTGGACAGATAATAAGAATGTTGCACTCTTATAACCGGCGGCCATTAATTTCCTATAGGAGAAAGAATTTTCTTCTAGTTCTTTCGATTTTCCATACTTTTTTAAAGATTTTCACTCCGATATTATGATAATTAAGTGCATTCAAACTATGTTATATTGGCCTTGACGAATATACGAGACAAAAAATTGACCAGGACATTTTTAAATGTATGCAACTGTATAAATATTTGCAGTTTGGTTAGATTATACAGTTTCTTTGATGTTTACATAAACAAAGTGAGCGATTACATTCTACACGGAACGTTTGATAATCTTTACAATCAATTTCCGAGTATTTGCTGGTACGCTAGTTTTTTGTACCATAATATCATATTTTCTACTTCTTTAGTATTATATTACTTGGTTCCGTATCCATTCAAATGAACTCTGATCATCATATTTCACGAAAATCGAAGACATAAATTCTCCGCTTCTAGATAAGCTATCTTTAAACAACACCATTTTGAGGGACAGAATATTTTGAACTAATGAAGAGATTATCAACGAACTTTAAAAGCATCACAAAAATCATTATGAAAAGGTTTGCATTTGAATCGACGCGTCACAGAAAATTTAGTGACTCTATCCCGTAGTTTTTCAATCTTGATATAACATACATTCGCTATTGAAATCGTCATTTGATGGTCAATCATTACAAAAATTCATTCCCGTTGAAGTTTTTCTTCTAATCAGCTTCAATAATGATAGTATACTAGTCAAACGAATAATCTCTTTTTCTCAATAATCAAGCACATATCTAATAGCTGTATAGCTACTATTACAACATCGAACAATATCGAAATTCTACAACATATACGCATATTCAACTCATCGAGTCAGAATGCAGTTAATGACAACACTATGTTGGCATCAACTGGTGATTGTGGAGTAATTTGATTCATGCGACGACGATTTATCTTTTTTTGCCAGTACTTCAAATGGATGTGAAGGAGAACATGCACTAATTGTCGACGAAAACGTGGCGATACACAACAATTAATATAGAATGGTAACTAAATATAGAATTATATTCTCTTTTCAAAGTATCGATCGAAACTTACCGAAAAATTTCCATAGAAAATAATGCGCGTCACTGAACTAATAAATTGATTTTCTGCGACACTAATTTGATCAGGAAATGTCACAGCACTGGTATAGAAATAATTGTAAATACTATAAGGTAATGTGACGATAACACCGATAGCGACCTCTACCAATACCATTGTTGTTAGTTGTTTATCTCGTTCTAGACGAACAATAGGAACTTGCCT